GTAGTTGCTCATTTATAAGTAGTTGCCCTTTTATAAGTAGTTGCTCATTTATAAGTAGTTGCCCATTTATAAGTAGTTGCCCTTTTATAAGTAGTTGCTCATTTATAAGTAGTTGCCCATTTATAAGTACATGCTCTTTTATAAGTAGTTGCCCTTTTATAAGTAGTTGTCCTTTTATAAGTAGTTGCCCTTTTATAAGTAGTTGCCCTGTGCGGGACATTTGCGACACATGGCGGTAATGAAAAAAATATTCAGAGCCCCAGGAAACCAGCGATAAGTCTAACCCGAACTGAAATGAGATAATAATGACAGTATTATAGAGGACTGTATATTTTATCTTCTTCCTTGGGACAATGAAAATTTATTGCATGGTCATTCCCCGGGGGGATAAATGCACAGATGTACAAAGTACAATGTACTAGAGAGTACTACAACAATAGTAATAAAGAAAGGCTAACATCAGCTCTAAGGTATACAATGCTAAAAAAAAAGAAATATACATATAAAGTGGTATTGATCTAATTTCTAATGGCTTCTTCTCTCTTTTTGAAACATTTTGAAATATACTTACATACTTCATTGATGACGTCTATATTTGTACATGATATAATATATATTATATATAAAAGTGTCTTCCTTTGATAATGTTTTACATTTTTTGTCGAGCTTAATTGAACTGAACAGTGATTTACGTTCGTTATCATATACTAGTAATTTACAGTCAAGCATAAAATGCGATTCATCTTCAATACAAGAATTGTTACAGAACTTGCTTAGTCTATCTTGTAACGGTGTACGGCTATGCCTGCCAATAAGAAGACAAAGCATGTTGTCTGCCAATATCGCATTACAATGAAAAACTGACGTGTTTGACCTTTCACCTCCAGACTCATGCATATCAATAAGATTAGGTTTTAGAGCTTAGTCATGATTGGCTAGAATTTAATCCGGGATAATTACTGGTAGGAAGCCATCTGGCATGCAAGGGCAGACCACAAGCTGTAACAAAGAGATTCTAGTGAGACGAACGAGAGACACAGCAAGAAGAGACGGCACCAACTTCTAAAGACATACAGGTATTTGGTTTTATCCTAAATGTTATATGGTTTAGTATTTATGGCAGAAGTCCCCAGCACTGAGGCGGCTTCTGCCGAGATCTCCAGTGCCGAAGTTGTGCGTTGGCGGTTTCAGCACTAGTAGAAAACTCTGTCTTTGCTGTCTTTGAACTCATAGCGACAGCAAATTACCGGAACAACAATGTCATCTGTAGAAACTCCTTGGTACAGGACAGCCACTTGCCTCAAAGTTTCAAAGGCATAGACTCGGCCTTGAGACGTACCCCGGTTGTAAGGTGTGTGTGTGTGTTTGTGTTTCCGCACATTTGTAGTCAGCATAACTTCATAACGCCTTTATGGATTGTGATGATATTTGGTATGCTGATAAGGTAGCAGAACACAGTATTTATCCGCGACCCCCGGAGACGATGACGTAGGGATAAGAAATGAGTGCGACAAACAGCTTGCACCGCTTGTACACAGCCTAACGTGGATTACATCGGGACATACAAGTTACCGTATGGTACCATAATATGTCGGCTTTGATATCGCATAATTGAGATTAGGAAGGCTGCTCGGTCGGCGAATAAATGCGCGTGACCTTTTCGCTGCCTGCCAGGGTGAGTCGGCTGCAGTTCCGGTGCGCTCCGCAGGAGGCCATTTAAAAGAGGGCGGCATAATGTAAAAAAACGATAACTTTTTGTACTTTTTTGTTATTTTGTACATCGTACCCTATATTTGAACATATTCGTTTCTGGTGCTTTTCTATGGTACCCTACTGTATTTTTATCCGCGTCGATGTCAGTCACTTCCGGGTCCTTAACTATAGAAATCCCCATAGGCGAAAAGCTGTGTTCTGCTACCATAAGTCTTAGGAAGACGAAGGTCAAGGTCAAATATGGGCCTCCTGGTGGATGACCTTGGTACTGCAACAGAAATTCCGGTTTTTGTATCTTTTGTTCTGAACATGCTATGGTCTTGACTTTTTGGTGACAGATAGCTTTTTCTGTCAGGAATAAGTGAATAAGTGGTGTGAATTTGGTCCCCCTTGCAGCTTGTTCTAGAACTTTCTGGCGAAACCTTTAAGACCCAATATCTCCAGATAGGAACAACGTATTCTCATCATTTTTGGTGTGTAGGTACCTGCGAGAGAGTTGTACGTAATTAAATGCAAATTATGCAAATGCGGACTTAATTTGCATAATTAAGGAGGAAATTCTATAATTACAGTGTTTTATATAATAGTACATGTACTTTTAATCTGTGGCAGGCGGAACATCAACAGATACCAATTATGCAAATTATGACCTGGTTTGCATAATTAATGTGAAAATTCTGTGACTCCTTATTGGTGAATGATGAATTTATACCTCGCGACATGTGCAAGTTACTTGAATGTTAACACCACTATGCATATATTTTGTTAATGTGGAGGTTATTTGCATAATTAATGAGGAAATGTTGAAATGAAGTATGACAAAGGAGAGGAATTTTACACGAAAAATATTGTCATTTGAATTTAGAAAACCATAAATTAAACTAGATTATGCTAATGACGACCTTATTTACATAGTCAATGAGACAAGTAAAAACATTTACAAAAACTCATATATTTCATGGAGGTCTCCGAATTCTTGTTGTCTCTGTGTTGCAGGAGTGGGATTGACTGTTGTTAAAATGGCGGCAAAAGGCGTCAGCGGGAGTTCTGATGGAGATTTTGTGAGCAGTTCTACAAAGGGGAGGGAGTTGAGCAAACGGTTTGGAAGCCATCAGGATGGTAAGATGAAAATGCCGACTCAAACAAGGGACAGACCCTACAGGTGTGAGGAGTGCGGTAAGCAGTTCAGTCGGCGTAGTGATCTGAAGAGACACACCCTCACTCACACCGGGGATAAACCGTACGGGTGTGAGGAGTGCAGCTGGCATTTCAGTCAGCTGGGTCATCTAAAGAAACACATGCGCACTCACACCGAAGAGAAACTCTACAGGTGTGAGGAGTGTGGCAGGCAGTTTCGTGATCTGGGTAATCTGGAGAGACATATGAGAATACACACCGGGGAGAAACCCTACAAGTGCGAGGAGTGCAGCAGGGAGTTCAGGGAACTGGGTAATCTGAAGAGACATATGAAACTTCACGCAGGGGAGGAAAGCCCTACATATGTGAGGAGTGCGGGCAGGCTGTTTCGTGAGCTGGGTAATCTGAAGAGACATGTGCGAACACACACCGGGGAAAAACCCTACAAATGCGAAGAGTGCAGCAAACTGTTTAGTCAGCTGGGTGAGTTGAAGAAGCACATTCGCACTCACACCGGGGAAAAACCCTACAGGTGTGAGGAGTGTGGCAAGCAGTTCAGTCAGCTGGGTAGTCTGAAGACTCACATGCGGACTCACACCGGAGAGAAACCTCATAGGTGTGAGGAGTGCAGCAGGCAGTTCAGTTTGCTGAGTAATCTCAAAAGACATATGCAAACACACAGAGGTGGGAAACCCTACAGGTGTGAGGAGTGCAGCAGGCAGTTCAGTCAGCTAAGTGATTTCAAGATTCACTTGCGAACTCACACCGAAGAGAAATCCTACACGTGTGAGGAGTGCAGTAGGCAGTTTAGTCAGCTGAGTCATCTGAAGAGACATGTGCGAATGCACACAGGGGAGAAACCCTACAAATGTGAAGAGTGCAGTAGGCAGTTTATTCAGCTGTGTGAGTTGAAGAGTCACATGCGCACTCACACCGGGGAGAAACCCTACAGGTGTGAGGAGTGCGGCAAGCAGTTCAGTTATCTGGGTAATCTGAAAAGTCACATGCGCACTCACACTGGTGAGAAGCCATATAAGTGTGAGGAATGCAGCAAGCAGTTTAGTGGGCTGGGTAGTCTGAAAAAGCATAAAAGAACACACACAGGGGAGAAACCCTACAGGTGTGAGGAGTGTAGCAAGCAGTTCAGACAGTTGGCTGACCTGAAAAGACACGCCTACACTCACACAAGGCAGAAACCCTACAGCTGCGAGGAGTGCAGCAGGCAGTTTATTGAGCCCGGTACTCTGAAGAAACATATGCTTACTCACA